CTTGCAGGAACAATGCAGTAAAGTTCATTATTGCCTCTAGGTAACCAGGGTTTTAGTCCCATTGCTATTAAGCAATTTTGGGAAGATTTTAACTATGAGATCTTTTTGTGTCTCTGTTTAATTTAACATGTAATAATTTACATCTTAGTTGAAGAAAGATGTTTTGTGAAATCACAAAGCCTCCTACAATGCTGAATCCATTGATAAGATCAGCTGTGGATAATTTTTATTCTGATGACTAATCAAAGGCTTTTTCAGAAGACTCACTGCAGGTGAGGTGTTAACGCCACAGGGGTTCTTGCTTTGAGATGCAAGATGGAAGACTTTTGGCCTCTCAGGTTATGGCCTAACTTTTTGTTGCCCTCATTCGTCCACGTTTGAAGTGGACTGGATCTGGAGCATTCTTTGTTACTGGTCCGCCTAAGATGAGAACAAAAGCAGAGAGAACCATAGTTAATTTTAGAATTTTTATCAGTTTCAAATTCAATCATGTGGAATTAATGTTCTGGAAGCCACATGATGTTGTTGGTCAGATCTGAATTGCTGTTGTTGATTTCAGCATATTGTGAGTGTGTAACACCTGAAACTGCTCTCGCTGTGGAGTTTACACAGTCTGCTGTATTCTGAGCATTACCTCCCAGTTCCGCTGGGGACATTTTTTCTGAATCAATTAATGATTTTTCACTAATTTCAGTTCACAATCTAATGGGCCGATACCCATAGTTCATTTTTTGCTCTCATTAACAGTCAGATCTGTTGGCAGAAATCATTTCACCCTTTTGGTGTTCTCTGCTTAACAGTTTCATTTTATGGTGTGGCTCACAGGTTAGATCTTTTGACCCATAAAAACTTTGGTAACTCTGAATGTTATCATATCCATCCCCCTTTCATTATTTTTCTGGTGAGTTAAACTCTCTGATCAAATTTTAATTGTAGGTGGTGTTTTTCAGCGAGGATTTTATTGGTTTACAATCAGTTATGCTATAGTAGTTCTGTCAGTGTTTTCCTTAAGCATAAAGAAAGCAAACCTCCTCAAGATGAATGTTTCATCTTTAGTCTTCAGTGCCATGAATTGGCGATTATAATATAATGTACATTATTGTTTATTCCTAATGTAATTATATTATATTAAAAATAGTAAGGATTATAATTTAATTATATCTGGTCTCTGGGGAGTGTTTTAGAACAACAGTGCATTTTAGCTTAATGCTTTTATCTTGTGATCAGGGCTGTGTTTGCCTGTAGGTTGCATGGAGAACAAAAGGGTCAGCAAAGGCTTGTGGCCAAATGGAAGAATGTAATTGTTTTATGCAAATACAGCAAACACATTCTCAGTATCTTATTCTCACTGAGGTGAAATTTCTTTGCTCTCTGTCAGGCCATTTGAATATGAAAAGGTTTGAGCAGTCAGGAGGTCTAAGGGCTGATTTAAAGCTAAAATCTTATAATTTAATTTCTATCTTTTATATTTAGTCTGTTTCGAGATAAAATTAAAGTATAGTGGATATTTTAGTTGATCAGCATCATATTTGAATTTATCACCATTAAATTTAAATGACAAATTTCTGATTGGTAAAGTTTTCATTAGAGCCTATTTGTCTTTTTTGCAATCAAATCATTCTGTTCTGCACACCTTTATTTTTCACATGCAAATGCCTTAGAACAGACTGTTGTTATTAATCCCATTTAAAAGTTTACAATTGTTTTTAAATCTTTAACCATTTTTTCCTTTTTTCCATTTTTCTCTTTTTTATAAAACTGTAGATTAAAAACAATGGATAGTTTTTGATATAAACTTTAAGGATCTAATTTATGACTCTCCACTGAGTCCCAGAATATAATTTGGATGATGTTATTCCAATTTTAAGCTTCAACTCTTGCTGTCTAGCAGACAAAGAGATATTTCAGAGCAAGGGATGGCGTTTATCTATACTGATGCAATCATGTCCCTGATAATCAAAGTGGTTTTGTCTAATTCTCAACCCCACCGGATAACGCATTCCGGTCTAACATTTTTGAGCATTTCCGACTCATTCTATCAATGTGTTTATATAGGGTGCGTCTCGCTTTCCCTCAACATTTCTAATAGGCAAAGAAGAATTGACTTACCACAGCAGCTGAAGATAGAATAGAAGATCCAAACCTCTTGCTTGATATAAATCCATTTTGTGCTGGAAAGACGTAACTCGCCTGAGTTGGCAGATCACGTCGGGGTCACCATTTTGTAAGGTCCAGCCAGTTGGTCCAATGACGGTATCCACTGGTGGATGAAGGTTCACTGCATGTTCGGTCTTTCCAGTGCACAATGTTGATTTATATTAAACTTAACTCATATCTGACTCCAATTTTAGTATGAGGTGGTTTAGAATATTGATATATTTATCCTCGTTTTATCTGACTCCAATTATAAAACATTGAGAAGGTTATTTTGTTTCCGTTCACATTAATTTAGATTATGATTGAATATTCTCTTCGGTTCATCATTGTATGTTATTCTCGTTCATTGGGATTCCTATAACATCCTGAATCTTGTACCGGCCGAGTATACCATTTCTTAAGCACAAGCATGTCAGTCTTGGTCACTAAACAGTGGCGATTGACCGCTATCCTAAAAAGGCAGAACCCTACTTACTCAGATTAGGATATTTTTTATGCAGTCCCCATAGGTCTGCTACCTCCTAAATCAGACAGAGCTATTTAGTCATATAACGATCATTACTATAGAATTAAGCAGACCAGTCGTACTTAAACTAGTAGTAACTTTGAATAATCACTATACTATCTAAATAGTATTATAAGTTTATCTGGTGAAGGACTATCCCCTTAGATATCCTTTTACAGCCTAAGTATACATGAATAAATGCCAATTTGTTAGTCGGAGCTCTAGAGACATCGTATAGCGTGCCGCAATGCTCCGTCTACCGTGTCCTAGTCCGCTACTAACCTGAACAGGGGCTTGTGGTGCTATGAAATTACCACAATCTACTAAAGATAATAACACGAACTCTGTTTGAATCATTCAAAACATAACAATTTATTAGTCAGGTAAATGAATTATGCCAATTCAATTAGTCAATTCATAAACGATCAATACAAAACATCAAATTATCAAAGATAAATCCAAGATGAAAAAGATGCATTCCTGACTTTGAAATATACATAACATGGAACAAGCCATGTTATGGGCTGAGCTGGTTAGGCAGAATCGCCCTGAATCTTTCGCGGACCTTACCTTAAATAATCCAAGAATTCCCTCAAGGAAGGGGGTGTGAATAACAAAAGGCATTCACACTTAGGGAAAAGTCACACCCTTCACAGTGGTTCAAAAGATGCCTGAAGTTATATATTTATTGTTTTGATTATGTCTATTTCTGAGAGAATGAGACCATTGTACCAATCGCACTGAGACATTTCAAATGATATCAAACATGATAGTTAAAGTCAGTTTGGTTAATCAAGAACATTCAAACATTGAAATTACCATATGCGTGAGTTGGGGGATGAAGCTGAGTTTCAGCATACTCAGATGCAAATGCAGCAGGAACTGGTTTTTCCCGCATTCCCCCCTGGTGGGTTGTGGAGTCCATTGGCCCTGTTTTCAGCTCATGTTTTGAATTGTCAAAGACATCAAAAATATTTGTAATATTTCAATTCTTACAGTCGTATAACAGACAACAGGTCAAAAGGCAGGTGGCTAAACAGGAGAACAGGGATAAACTAGGCTAGGGTCTAAAACACGGAGAAACAAGACAAGGAGAAATGCGTTGTAATGTCACTGAAAGCGAACAAGACTCGGCAAACTGGATGAGTGAAGGACAGGCTTATGAAGGGTGTCTAATCAGTCTCTGAAAGTCCTCAGTTGATGCGAGTGTAATCAGTCTAGATGAGTGAGCAGGCATGAGTGTCTGGGAGAAGTGTATGTAGTGCAGAGGAAGGCGGACCTGTAGTCCATGGTTATAGTGGCTCCGGAGGGCGATCGCTGGTTAGAGTAACACTCGCTCTCTCTCTCTCTCTCTCTCTCTCTATCTTTCTCTCTCTCTGTGTGTGTGTGTGTGTGTACATGACATCCAGCAAACCTCTAGTCTTAAAATAGCTGTGCTCACAAACTGATGAATAACATTGAGGTAGTGAGGTTAATAGAATAATTAATGAATTATTTAAGCGTTGACTGAACATTATTAACTGTAACTGTGTCATGGTATTATCTACTGTTTTAATTCACTGACCCTGACAGTGAGATTAATCTTGGATTATGTTGCAACATGAGGTTAATTTGACTTCACCTATAATAATAAGAATGTTTGACAGAACGAGCCTCATCAATGCTTTAAAAAGATCTGCCATATTAAAGACAGAGAAACTGAGAATCAGTTAAATCATTTTAACAATGTATGCCTTGCTTCTTAAAGCCTAAATTCAATAAATCTTTACATATACAGAGTTACTGTATTCAGGGTTTTAAAATCAAAACCACATCACCATCATAATCAGAAATTAATGTCACACACAACATCAGTGAATAAAACTGTTATTTTTCTTTTACCTTGCCATAACAATTACACCTATCAAAGCTACCAAGTAAAGCAAACCCTGTCTTCCACAATAGTGACTTTGCATCATTGACTTTGCATCAGTAAATGTCAAATGTGAAAATGTACAAAAGTGACTTTTTTAGATTTTTGACAGAAAAATAATGTCAAACTCTATAGTCAGTCACTGTTATGATTTTCTCTTCAGCGATTCTGCTTGTTAGCATCAGGTTCTGTTCAACCAACATTTAATAATCTCATTCAATTTACCACGGCTGCAGTGTTATTTTTAATATTACACAGTGTTAATTTATCACTGAGTGTTTTGCTGTTTAGGCTTTGACTAGCATTTTTATAAGGACAAAAAAATTATAAAAATCTTGGATGGACTGAGATAAATTTTTGGCTTTAAAAATTCTTAAAAAATCTTTAAAAATTGCTTAATCGTGCTTCTCTTTTTTTTTCTCTCAGTCTGGCGTGGTGTTCGTTCGGCACCTGTATGAGCTCTGCGGTCACAGCTCTAAACCATTACACCAAAACCATCATTGAGTTCAAGTTCAGGCGGAGGACCATTGAGAAGAAACTGCGCATCAAGCAGAGGATTCTGGAGCTTGACCTGCCAGAAGACTTATGGTACATAACATTATTACAAGACCAAGCAGACCAACACACTACTCTGTATGTAAATGGCCCTGGATCATCCTGCATCAACCCCAGTATACTGGACAACTGGGACAGAGAATACTGCTAAAAATCCACTGATCCACTTCTGCACATGATTTTGTGCTGAAAATTTTATTTTATTGGGCTATATTCAAGAGAGCAATATATTGACTAAGTTCTGCTTTTGTTCTAATACGATTAATTTATTAATTTAATTGAGGTTTAAAAATAATTATAAGTTAAAGGAAGAGTTCATTCAAAACTAAAAATTCTTTCTTCATCTACTATTGCTTAACTTCTCACAAACCTTTTGTTCTGATGAACAAAAAAGATGTGTAAACCTGTAACCATTGACTTACATAGTATTTGTTTTATAGTCAATGGTTAAAAGTTTGTAACATTTTTCAAAATATCTTCTTTTGTGTTAATAAAATAAGTTATATGTTATTTTGTGTTCACTCATAAAGGTTTGGAACCACATTGATAAATGATGTGTAAATTTGTATTTTTGGTCAAATGTCACATTGCATTTTTTCTCAATTGCCAATAAATAAAAATAAATAAATAAATAAATAAATACATACATACATGCATACATACATACATACATACATACATACATACATACATACATACATACATACATACATACATAAATAAATTGAAATAAGTTCTCAGTTGCCTGCCCTTATTTAGCGAACTGCGCAGTCTGTTGGCAATACCCTAAACCATTTCACATGGTAAAGCGCAATAGGTGAGAAATGATGTCAGGGTTGTATACGGCACACAAGAGGCTTCTTCAATTTAATTAAATTCATTTAGCACTTTTACAATGTAGATTGTGTCAAAGCAGTTTCAAATAGAAGTTCTAGTAAATTGCAATTGAAAATGGTTGGGGCGTATTGTTTCACTTAACTCACAAATCGATACGATTCACGATTTAGTCAATATGTTTTTTTTATTATATTTTTTAAACAATATTAGTTAAAACAAATTTAAGGTAAAAAAAAAAATATATATATATATATATATATATATATATATATATATATATATATATATATATATATATATATATATATATATATATATATATATATATATATATATATATATATATATATATATATATATATATATATATATATATATATATATATATATATATATATATATATATATATATATATATATATATATATATATATATATATATATATATATATATATATATATATATATATATATATATATATATATATATATATATATATATATATATATATATATATATATATATATATATATATATATATATATATATATATATATATATATATATATATATATATATA